TTTTTTTTTTTTTTTTTTTGGTACTGGGGATCAAACTCAGGATCTTGTGCTTGCGAGGCAGGCAGCAGAACCACTGAGCTAAATCCCCGGCCCAGACGCACTAACATTTTAAGGAATGTCTTTAACCTTTGAGGATAGGATCAGAAGTGTGTCCTCCCATAACATATCCTTTGATATGTCCATTGTACCCAAAATGCAAGACTAGATGAACCACACCTTGGGCCCATTTTCGGTAAATTGGAATATTAGAAGGCATTAAAAGGAGGTAGTGGAGTTCAGCCAGACACTTTGTAGGATTCTTGGCGGGCGATCTGTGACATGGCAATGGGAGACAACTCATGTTTCTGGAAGTGGGAGGTGAGTCCTGGTCCCAGGAGCACATCCTGTGTCCTGGATGGCTGTACAAATCCTGTCCACTCAAAGTGCAGCCACTCTGGGAGCCTGTCACAGGCCGTGCCCCTTGCTCTGTTACGTGCCTGGTTTTACCACGAGGGGCTCAAGCCCTAGCCTGATGGGCACCCTTCATTCTCACTGCATGGCTTCTTCCTCTTCAGGTTAAAGTTCAAATGGGCGACTTAAGTTTTTCCCAGCTACAAACACTGTGATTCATATAAATTTTTTTTTGTAACGAGGACTATGTAAATTTGGTACTGACCTTGAAAGTTTCCTACATTGCTAATCTACGGGGAAAGAAGGATTCACTTTATTACAAAGAATAATCCTTGTTGACGTCACTGTAACTCTTGCTTTTTTTTTTCTTCTTGTCTTGCTTTTTAAAGATGGATCATATGTGACTAGCAAGTTCATTGATAATCATGAAATTGTGTTCATGATGAAAATAAAATTTTAAAAATTTATGTAGCAATTTAGTATGATATTTTGGCCAGGTGTGCAGAAAGCTTACTCAACATAAGGAGAGTGTTTGCAGTTTATAATAAACCTGTCATTTGTAATTTCTTCACCCAAATGACACTTATTTTAGTAGGAAACTCATTTTATGTATTTTTAAAAATATATATTTTGGTAGTCTGTCTAGCCATTCCATTAAAAAATGAAATTATTTTATCAGGACTTTTTCTTTTGGTCTTTAAGTTGGATACACTCAAAGAGAACAACTTGAAAAATGTGGAAGAGCTGAACAAATCCAAAGAACTTCTGACTGTAGAGAATCAAAAAATGGAAGAATTCAGGAAAGAAATGTAAGTTTATCTCTTTTGAGAGAAATTATGAAGCTTTTTTTAAATAGGAAAAGTGAAACTAGTTCTTTAAAAAATAATTTGAAAAGTGCAATAAATCAAAAAAGAAAAAGTTACCCTTCTGTACCCCAAATACTATTATATCACCCCCAGAAGCATCTCAGTAACCACTATTAAGGTAGAATTAGAGCCGAATGAAACGATCCAAGGAGACTATGTGCTGACTGATAGTTGTAGACACCCCCATACTGGGGATCGAACTCAGGACCTTGTGCAGTGCCGCTGAGCTACATTCTTGGGCCAATGAGGTGCGTGCGTGCGTGTGTGTGTTTTGTACTGGAGTCGAACTCAGGAACTTGAGCTTGTGAAATAGGTGCAATGCCCCTGAGGTAATTCTCCAGCCTGTGGCCTAACGAACTGCAACATTTAGGATCTACTGTGACTTTAGAGCTTGAGGATACAAGTAGAATCAGAGGTTTAGATAGAAGTAGAATCAGATGATAGCAGTCTAAACATTTGGAACCATCAGACCTTTTTATTAAAACTCCCTTGGGCCAGGGATTTAGCTTAGGGACGCTGTTCTTGCCTTCTAAGCGCAAGGTCCTGAGTTCGATCCCTGGTACCAAAAAAAAAAAATTCAAAACTCCTTTCTGTAGGGGAGGAAACCAAACAGCATGGGAACTAAATGACGAGCATTTTTCAAAACTCTTTAGGGTTCACCCATGTTGATGTTTCCTTTGTTGATGCCATAGCTGTCAGAGGTTGGTGTTCATGTGGCATTTTAAGTGATGGGTTACAATATAGCTTTCATTGGGTCTTCCGTTCAATAACATCACTGTATCAACCACTGGTGAACCTAAAAATCTAACACTAGTTAATCTGGTGAACACGTGGGTATGTGTGTCCTTCACATAAGGGTGCACAGATAAATGTCAGTGGTCCCCACCTTTCGCAGGTTTGTGTTATTTCTAGTTTTGGTTTTGGTTTTTTTTTTTTTTTTTTTTGTTTTGGGTTTGGTTTTTTTTTTTTTTTTTGGAGATAGGGTCTTACTATGTAGTTCAGACTACCCTGAAACTCACTATATAGCCCAGGCTGGTCTCGAACTCACAGTGATCCTCCTGCCTCAGCCTCCCGAGTGCTGGGATTACAGGTATGCGTCACCACATCCGGTTCATTTCTAGTTTTAATAAAACATGAAATTGGGACAGAGACAAAAGCATTGGTTCAAAGCTTCTGTTCCTAACAAAGCATCATTTGTGCATCACATTTGAATTAAACTAGTGTGTCTGTCTCCTCAGAGTCACTCACTCCTCTAGGAATAGTTAGATCTGAGCTCCTCACTTGCGGAGGTGCCCAGCTATTGGTGATTGACCCCATCCTCAGTCTCAGTATTAAAGGTGTCCTGCGGTGTCTCAGCAGCTCCCATTAGTTCCCCTGTTGCAGCAGAGCAGCTCTGTGTTGTAGCCAAGTGCCACAGCTCGGAAGGCACAGCTGAGCATTACACCTCAGTGTGGCAGCTCTGGAACGCAGCTCTGAAGTGCAGCTGAGCTTTATAGCTCTGTGTGGCAGCTCTGGGTCACATCTCTCATTCTTTGAAAACTTGAGACTCTGGTGGTCATTTGAAGAGGTGGAGAAAAACCTTTATTACACTGGCAAGCCCTGGAGGGCTCAGAAGAGACTGAGCACTCTACAGGTAGGCAAGCATTCTCACTGAAGCAAAGGGGCAGAGTTACAGAACATTCCTGAAACACAGGCTTTGTGAACATGCTCACTAAAGCAAGGGGGTGGAGTTTCAGAAAATTCCTGAAGCTGTGGGGCGGAGCTACAGAGCATTCTTGAGAAGGGGCAGAGCTTAACCTTCTAGTGAGGTTATGAGAGGGCTGAGCTTGACAGAACATTCCTGGAAGGTCACACAGTTCAAACAGTCATAAACCATTTTGATACATTGGGCAGGAGCCCAGCAACACAACTTATATTTCCAAGATAAAACATTCTGTGGAAAAAAAAATGGAGGTAAGGCAAGGGCCTGTCTTATTGTCTAGCACTTCTCTGTCCCCATATACACAAGCTTACAAACTCATACTATGATTGTGGCCGTTAGGGAGAATCTTAAATTTCTGGATGTTGGGCACAGTGGCCCATGCCCATGATCCCAGCACTTGGGAAGCTGATGCAGGAGGGTCGCTGTAAGTTCGAGGCCAACCTGAATGACATAGTAAGACCCTGTCTGAAAAAAACCAAAAAACAACCTTTTCGCCTACCAAAGCCAAAAAATACAATAGATAATTTGTCACGGTGACACGAAAAATGAATTCATTTGTAGGAATATGACAGTTGAGTTATTTTCAAATAGGGTGGGTCCAGTTACAGTTTGGGATTTTTTTCCTGAGACACAAGTAGTCATGCTAACCCTGAGCATTCCAGAACACTGAACTGGCTTTAATTCTTTTTTGTTGTTGTTGGTTTTTTTTCGTTCTGAGGATTGAACTCAGGACCTTGCACTTGCAAGACAGGCAGCGAAATCACTCAGCTAAATCCCTGGCCCTGGCTTTAGTTCTTTTGTCATACAGGCCGCTACAGCGGGAGGTTGTGAGCAGCAGAAGATTCTCTGACTGACCTCCTGTTGCTGTAGCCCCACTCCTGAGCTCTCTGGGGCACACTAGATAATAGAAGGGCAGGGCTGAGAGGAGAGAGGTTTTAGGGTTTAGGTGACACTGCAATCACTCCTGCTGAGGAATCTCATTGCATCAGTGAGATCATCCTGCAGTGTCAGAGTCCTCCCCAAATCCTGATATGTTACCTGCCCATCAGTGTGGGGTTGGTCTCATCCCCATCAAGAGAGATTATCAGGCCAGAGGTATAGCTCAGGGTAGAGCACTTGCCAAGCAGGCACAAGGCCCTAGGTTCCATCTCCAGCACTCCCCAAAAAGGGAGAAAACTTTGTGCCTGCTTCCTAGCATTACTCCAGTGATGAGTCAAAGTTTGCTTCATGCCTGTAGAACCAAAGGCCTGGGAATAAAAGACTGACCCCAGCTGCTGTCACCATTATGTCCCTGGTACTGTCCCAGGAGGGAAGGAGCAGCTCCAGGCAGACTGAGCCGGGCCTGGTTTAGACGGGCTGCCTTGTTCCTGCCCACGAGGCCCCAGAGGATCCCGTCTTCCATTCAGTGTCCAGGCACCCCGAGGCCCGTGTGTGGCTTTCCATAGAAGCTAGGTGAGGGCAGCGTGGGAAGTGGTTGGGAGGTCTTGTCTTCTAGACTGCCCACATTTCAGGGCCTGTCTGCTGTCAGAGGACTGTGTGACGGGAGCAGTGCTTCTCAGTGCAGTTGTCTTGTGGTCCTTTGTCACGCTCGTTGGTTCTCAGCCTGGAGGATGAGCAGCTGTTTGCTTTCCTGTGGCTCTGTGGCTGTGGGGGGTGCTCCTAATGTCCTTAAGAGTTGTGGTGTTTGTTTCTCCCTCACCCTATGGCACTGAAGGAAAAGATTACTAGGGTGGCCTGGACTTCTAATAGGAACCCTCTCCTTGGCACTGAAAGCAAGTACTTGTCACTGATTCCCTTTCCCTCAGTGGTACTTACTAAGCTGGTTTTAGAAAAGTCCTTGATTTTAATTAGCAAGCTACTGCTTTGAACTGGAGAATGGCAATAAAACAGTTTCTCGCTAGTCTTTGGTATCGGGGAAGTTTTTGTTTTTGTTTTAGTGTAGTTTTGTTTTGTTTTTTGGTACCAGGGTCAAACTTGGAACGTTGCATTTGCAAGGCAAACTGCTTTAACTTTTTTTTTTTTGGTTTTTTGAGACAGGGTCTCACTACATAGTTGAGACTGACCTGGAACTCACTATGTAGCCCAGGCTGGTCTCGAGCTCACAGCGATCCTCCTGCCTTAGCCTCCCAAGTGCTGAGATTACAAGTGTATACCCACTACACCTAGCCCTCAGCTTTGTTTTTTTTTTGGTACCGGGGATTGAACTAGGGTCCTTGTGCTTGCAAGGCAGGCCACCGAACCGCTGAGCTAAATCCCTGGCCCAGCCCTCAGCTTTTAAACTACAGAATCTTTTTTGTTTTAAGACACCTTGTCCTGGAGAGAAAGTGTTTTTTTGTTTGCTTGTTTTTATTGTTAGAAATGGCCGGGGATTTGCAGATGGCTTCAGCTGTCATCTGAACAAGGAAAAAAATAATGGCTGGCACAGCACCTGCCTGGCAAGCCCAAGGCCCTGAGTTCAATTTCTGGTACCAAAAAAAGAATTAAATTCTTAGAAATGTTTTTGTGGTGTTTTCAGATTCATTCAGTCCAGAGTTAGGACTGCAGGAGTATCTTTTCTTCATGAAATGCACCCCACCCCACCCCACCCCTGAGAAACTGAAGCGCGCCCTTGTATTGGAATCACCTTTCAACTGTAATGCTGGTTCTTTGGTTCTACTGCTTACTGACTCTAGGATTTGGGGCAAATCTCTGACTGATTTTCTCATCTTAAAAAATAAATAATAACAGCTTCCCTGTGCTTTGAGGTTTAAATGAGAAAATGTACATGAAACCATTTGGTATTTTTAAAACAGTAAATAGCATGGGTTAATACTTAAAGACATTTGGACCATATTTGGATTACCTCTTTGACTCCTCATTTTAATTTTCCTTACTGCAGGCTCTTAATATAAACTCAGAGTTTAAAAAACTTGAAAAGATAAAGATCTTTTAAAAGGGAAAGAAGAGGAGCATAAATATCTTTATCTGGCCACACAAATGCTGGGACCAGCTAGCCCCATGAAGGCAGTGACCACAGTGTGTGGCCTGTGGCAATTGCTGATTGTCTGATTTATCAAGGATTGATGGACTTTTGCCAGGAAGTGAACTTTAGCTATGGGATGTCTGTACACAGAGAGATATAGATGGGTACATTGGTTATAGTAGATGGATCCATAATTAAAGTCATGACTCTTTCTGAATGGCTAATTACCTGAGGCTAATATTCCTTCTCCCATCTTTCTCTCTCTCTCTTTCTCTCTCTTTCTCTCTTTCTTTCTTTCTTTTTTCCTCTGTAAAAAGCCTGAGTGTGCTATAAGAGAGGTTTTGGGGATTTACCTCCCTAAATCTTCATGAGGTCATCATAGTATGCACATTATAGGTAGGTAGAGAATGAAAAATGGGAGAAAAATTGAAGCTGCCAAGCACCGTCACCCATTAGACAATTGAAGTTAAAAATAGATGTGTTCATGCCTCAGCAGATGGATTCTCACCCAGATGACTGGATTCAGAATTCAGCCATGTATGACAGCTTGTGGAGTGGAGTTTATCCAGCACAGACTTACTTAAAATTCATAATTGCACCAAAACCTTCTATGGCATAAAACTAAAATACAGTGATCAAGTAAAATATTTTGAATATCCACATGTAAAGGATAATAATTTAGAATGTGTATTTTGGGTTGATTTTAATAATGAGAAGATGTTTATAAATTTATATATGTGTTTATATTTTATATGTTGATACCCACAGATTATCAGGCTGTATTATATTTTTATTAGTAGCTGCTGCTGCTGCTGCTGCTTCATTATAAATTAGTATTGTGGAAAGAATGCCATGAAAGTAAGACACCTACCGCGTAATTAGAAAACATTTTTGGGGGCATTTCATGTTGACGTGTCCTAAAACTATACTCAGATTCACATTAGCACTTGACTCTGACTGATAGGGGAAATGAAACCATTGGCTTTTTATTTCTATAAAAGTAAAGCAGAATAAGGGCCAGAGATTTAGCTCAGTGGTGCTGCCTCCTGCCTCGCAAGCACAAGGTCCCCAGTTTGATCCCCACTACCAAAAAAGATAAAAAATAAATAAATGTAAAGCAGAATACAGATCTGTGTAGCTAGAACAGTATCTTGGCAGCAAATTAGATCACGTTATCAATGTAGGTTTTAGTATAATTATCTAAATGGAAGTATTCCTAAAGACTGGACTGCTGTACTGACCATTTGTCATTTATTCTGTAGCAGAAGTCTTTTTTGTATGTAGTGTGTGGGGGTGGTAAGGGGATGGTTATAGCGTTTATTAGGTTTTTAAAAATGTAATAACTGTGGGCGGCCATCCTCCTTTTGCGAGGTTAAAGCTATGTGGCCCCTCCTGCATGCAGATGACACTGTCTCCTGTTGTTATAGGGCCTGTTGGACACGTGACCAGCTGTTTTCCTCAGTGCTGTGAAGCTGGTTGTCTCCCACAGTTTCCTTGCCTGTCTTGTTTCTATGGTAACCGTGCACTCACTGTCCTTGCAGAGAAACCCTAAAGCAGGCGGCAGCTCAGAAGTCCCAGCAGCTCTCAGCGTTGCAGGAAGAGAACATCAAACTTGCCGAGGAGCTGGGGAGAAGCAGGGACGAAGTCACAAGTCATCAAAAGGTCAGTGGACCTTTAGTGGGGGTTTCTAGATTTGTATGCTGATGTCTGCTGCTGTTGGTGGTGTGCCTGGAAGCAACTCAGAGATCTCAGCATGGTTGGGTTATTCCAAATGAGATTTTCAAGTAACCTGTATTGTGTGTCTCTTTGTTTGTAAGTGTTTTTGCAGTAAGACTTAGGGCAGAAGCAAATTGACAGGGCCATTAAAACACACACACACACACACACACACACACACACACACACACACAACTGGACCCTGCAAGCAAGTGGTGAAGAAGTCTCTATTGATGTATTGATGATCTTATAGCAGTGCACTTAGAGGAAAGGGACAGTATCTTCTTACTACTGTTTGAATTTCAAATTATTTTTCCTCAAAATCTTAGTCTTTTATCAAAACTGTCTGTAAGGAAATAGATTCTATACTGTGGATTTGTTATGAGGATTCGCAGTTGATTTTAAATAGAACACTGCTTTCCTTTAAATTCAAAAAATGTTTTATTTCCTAGTGAAACTGAATTGGAATAAATGGAATGTGGGTTATAACTGGAGGGCACCACAACCCATTTGCTTCTATATTTAAATTACAGAGGCTTCTGACAGAAGTTGATTAAACATGGAACATTGATTACACAGGACACTGTATTCTGCTTTGGGTTGGCGACAGCTCAATCAGAGTGCTGAATTATTAGCCACATCAGACCTCAGAGCAGCAGCTCGGGATGATGTTAGAGACTTCGTGTGTGCTCATTCATTCTTGCTGTGGACTGCCATGGGAACAATGATTGTAAACCTTGCAAATGTTAATTACCACCTGGGATAGAGGAATTTGGGGTCCTTGGATTGTGTTCATTGACACAGTGCACTTTGTGGTGAAAGCACTTTTTGGAGTTTGATTTTGGACTTTAAAACCTTTGTTACAGCTTTCCAAAGTTTTCTCATTTCATGAGAGGGGAGCTGCATCTCTAGATTCCACAGGGTGGTGGTGCTGTTGCTGATAGTAGCTGATGTATGGGTCCGTCCTGTTTGGCAGGCACAATTAAAGGACAGCTACTATCTCAATCCCTACTGCAGTTCTGTTAATCTGTTAATGACCTAATTGTAAAAAAGTAGAAGCACAAAGCAGATAGTCATTTAGTTAACATCCCCTGGTGAGTAGAGTCAAGAGTTGTTTCCTGTCTTCTGACTTGGCTGGAAAAGCTTCAGTGCGTGTTGATTTATGTAGGGGGTCACTGCATGGGAGAAAACGGAGTTCATGAGAAATGGAAGCTCTTTGACCTGAAGAGGTTCTTTTTTTCCTGGCACAAGCTGTAGCTGTAAACATTTGGTATCTCCAAACTCAGTGTGTCCACTAGGGCTTGGGGTGGAGGGATTTCAGCCAAGTGCTGAGTCTGTTTCGGTCTCTTTTCCATCCTGTCACTGGACATCTCTGATGAAAGGCAGATCCGGTGACTGAGAACGGAGGTCGCCCTCTCATGCTGAGACTGACCGATGATTACATTTCTTGTCTGTGTCACTCAGAGCCAAGGCAGCTTGGGGGATCCTGTGTCTCTCTGGGCAGCTCTGCATCCTAGCAGCTCTGTTCTCTTCACGAGAGGGCTATCGACTGGCTTCTTCCGGGAAAGGGTGTTAGAAAAACAGTGCTAAAAGAGTAACTGCCTTTTAAAGAATGAGATGGTGGTTCTACCATTTGTCATTTTTGGTGTTTTACTCCGAAGCAGCAAGTGAGTGTAAACTAAAACATGAAAGTATGGGTTTGTGGGAATAGCTAAAAGTGGCAGTGAATAGCTGGGTGTGGTGGGCACACCTGTTGTCCTAGTGCTTAGGAGGCTGAGGCAGGAGGAATGCAAATTTGAGTAGAGCCTGGGCAACTTAGTGACTTTTTCTTTTCTTTTTGTTTCTTTTCATTTTTTTGAGACAGGGTCTCACTGTGTAGACTAGGCTGCCCTTAAGCTCACTATGTAGTCTAGGCTTGCCTCACACTTTGTGGTGATCCTCCTGCCTCAGCCTCCTGAGTGCTGGGATTATACAATTTAGTGACTTTGTGAGAAGCTATCTCAAAATTTAAAAAAGAAAGAAAAAAAAAGAAAAACAAGTGCTGGAGATAATAGCTCAATATGAAAACACTTGGTTCAATCTCCAGAGAGAGAGAGAAAAAAGATGAGATGCAGTCTTAGTTTATAGAAAATGGATTAATTCATCAGGCTTTATTACTCATATTATATAATTCCTAAGACTCTAAAGTGCTGTTTCTTTCTGTAAAATTATGAATTTTCACTTAGCTACTTTCTGCACTTAAGTCAAACTGTTGGTCAGCTCTGTTAGAAATATATACAGAGCTATAGTAATTGGCAGAAATGCTGCTTTGTTTTAGAAAGCTGGTGTTTTTTAGTGATAGTAGTTGCTGTTTCTCACCAGAAACCTCATTTGAGCTGGGGCTTGGTGGTGCCCACTAGTAATCCTGGCCTTTGGGAGGCTGAGGCACAAGGATCCCCCTGAGTTCAAGGCCAACCTGGTCTACGTAGTGGGGCAGGGAGGAGGGAGGACCTCACTTGACCTGGCTGCCCGGAGCAGCGTGCGGGGGAGGTGCTCTGACAGGGGTGAGGGCCCTGCTTGCTTGTGGCCCTCAGGAAGGGAGTTGGCCAGGCCAGAGAGCTCGTGTGTGTGTGTGTGTGTGTGTGTGTGTGTGTGTGTGTGCAGCTTGCGTTGCTTGCTCTCCATGTCAGACTCCTCTCCAGCTAAAAGTCTTTCTTTAAGTCTCCTTTCTGAGGTTAGTTTTCATTTTAAAAAGGGAGCAGGGCAATAGTTAAGAGTCAGTTAGGATTTTGAGCAGCAGAAGTGTTTGATTACCTGGCATCAGTAATGACAGGAGTCTTTTCGGAGACAGGGTCTCACTGTGTAGTTGAATCTGACCTGGAACTCACTATGTAGCCCAGGCTCTCTCGAACTCACAGTGATCCTCCTGCCTCAGCCTCCTGAGTGCTGGGATTATAGGCATGTGCGCCTGGCTGACAGGAGTCTTAATAAAATGTCACACATGGAGGCGAGTGGTGGCTCACACCTGTAATCCCAACAGTGGGGGAGACTGAGTTAGGAGGACCGTAAGTTCAGGCCCAACCTGAGCAATTTAGTGAATTATGAAGATCCTGTCTTGAAATAAAAATTTAAAAAAAGACTGGGCATGTAGCTTAGTGCAAAGGCCCCACAGTTCAATCCCCGGTACTGGAAAAACAAAACACACATGTGGAATGTACTGCTTTTTGGTGTTGGGGGGTTGATTTTTTTGAGACAAGAGTCTCACTATATAGTTCAAACTGAAGGTGATCCTCCTACCTCAGCCTGCAGAGTGCTGGTATTAAAGGTGTGTGCCACTGCACCTAGCTCAAGTGTGCCGTCTTTTAAAAGAGAATTAAGATAGATTAAGCAGAATTAAGAAAAGATAAATTAAGTCCTAGGAAATTATTCTGTTCAGTCTAAGAGTAGTCATGCCTTGCCTTCTTCTGATGACTCCAGAATTATGAAGATTGTTTTACAGTTGCTGTGAGCCGTGTGCGCTCACGTTCAGGTTCTTGCTCAGTGCCCTGACCGATGCTTGTTGCCCCGGCTTGCGTGTGTGAGTGGAGTTCACCATTTTAGAGTGCGCTGCTCAGGGACATTCTGCTGTACACTCACCATGTTGTGCAGCCATGACCTCTGAGTAGTCTCACTACCAGTAAGCAGTCACTGTCTTCATTCCTTGCCCCAGGCCTGGCAGTCACCAGGCTTTCAGTCTCCGTGGCTTGGCCTTTTCTGGGCATTTCATACGAATGGAGCCACACACTGCATGAGCTTTTGTGACAGACTGTTCTCAGTATGTTTTCCTGTTCACCCAGGTTGCAGTGTGAGTCAGTACTTCATTCCCTTGTGTACATGTAGAGGGTGGGACACTTGGTTCCTTTTCGCGGCTGAATAGTGCCCCCCTCAGTGGACATGCAGGCTGTGCTCATCCTCTTGTATCAGTGCCCAGTGCCTGCCTTCCCCATTCATGTCGTCCCTGGGCCCGGTGGCTGCAGCCCTTAGCGGCGGTCTCTAATTGCGATGTTGGATCTTCGGTGGGATAGGAAATCCTCCTTTTTTTGACAGTGTTTCTAGATCTTGCTACTGTCCACACTTGCCTCCCTTTCTTCATCTTTACTTTCAAGTTATTATTTTAAGGGTGGGGGTACCAGGGATTGAACTCAGGACCTTGTGCTTTCGAAGCAGATGGTGGAACCACTGAGCTAAATCCCCCGCCCTACTTTCACATTCGTAAGTCATCTGTTGTTGACTTTCATTTATCATTTTCCATTTTTCCATTTCCCTGCTGCCTTGATACTTACCCCAGTGGACCCCTGAAATGACCTCGGAATTGTGAAACTGACGGCTCCCTCTGAACTTTTGGGCCTGCCACCATCCGTCAGAGCGAGCTACCGCTGCCTTGCTGCCTTAGAGCACTAGGCGGCAGGCTGTGGGCCCTGGGCCGTGCTGCTCCTTCTCACCCTGCAGTGGTGAGGAGGAAGGAAGCGGAGCGCGATGTGGAGGTGTTTACAGTGAGGTCCCAGTCCTGTTTTACAGACTGAGAAACAGACCTCATGGCTGCTCTTGCCCCTTTTTCCAGTGGTTTCAGCTATTTCTAGTTTCATAGCTGTGTTGCAGGGATAGGGTTGCCAACGCCTGATCACCAGGTTAGTGGGGTGTTCGCAGTGCCTGAACGGTGGAGGCAGTCACTCAGATTCCAGAGAGCTCACGAGGCTTCAGGACTAACGGAAACCATAGAGTGTTATTTTCTTTTCATAGGGAAGTCTTCAATAGTAGTCATCTCAGGTGGGTACCTTTGATATGTCTGGTTTACCATTTCCAAGTCTCAGATGTATTGTACTTTATAAAGAAGAATTCTAAAAGTAAATACTGTGAGTTCTTCAGAACCCCCTGAGGCAGTCACCTCTGCGATGTCATTTCCAAACCCTACATGTATTCCACCTTGT